GTTTTCATAACTATTCTGCATGCTTCTAATTTTAGAAGCATTCTAGCTTAAATAGTTTTTTGATTGTTTGTTTACTGCTTTTTTGTTTTGTTTTGTCAACTTGATAGACTACTTTTTATCCACTGCAATCTTCATAGAGCGAAGACTTGTTGATGTGATTGATGGCTTGGGTAGATGCCTATTTTCGAACGGCACCAGTTGTACGTATTCCAAGGAATGCAACAGCCAGATTCTCAAATGCTGTTGCTTAACGCAAGTAGATTTTCTATTTCGAAGATCGGCACAATATAATATTCCCTTTTCCTATGCGAATCTCTATTAGATTAAGAAAGTGAATTAAGTGTTAAGAGCAAGAATTAATCTTCCCTCTGTTATGGATCTGGAAGAAAAATTCATAGTGTTATTAAGTGAATTTTAAAGACAAAATTTAAAAATGCATACAAAGATTTATTCAATTTCGGATGCTTTTTATTGATTTCTTCATATATATATATATATATATATATATATATATATATATATATATATATATATATATATATATAATTTATTCGAAAATTATAACATAAATAACTTATATAATCACTATTTAAATAGCCATTTTGTTTCAATATTTATCATTTGATAAGACACCAGAATGTTGAAACAAAATGGCTATTCTTGTAGTAATTTTATAATATATTTATGTTATAATTTATAATTTTTGAATAAATTATATTTGCTCTAAAGCTATATTGAGCATTCTTTTAAGAATGGTATTTTTGGTTATTGGAATTTCTTCCGTATACACCAATCCTATATTTTTTGATATATATATATATATATATATATATATATATATATATATATATATATATATATATATATATATATATATATATCAAGAATCAATAGTGTTAGGTCAATTTCAAAACAATATTTAAAAATGTGTAAAAATTTTGTTCAATTTCGAACGCTTTTTATCGATTCTTCCTATATATATATATATATATATATATATATATAGATAGATAGATAGATACGATCTGAGTGTGCTATTCCAATGACCGTTTTCGTCGCATAGCAATTTTCTATGTCAAAATATTATCCTTCACGGCGGCTATCTTTGATTCATATCTGTATAACCACTCTAAGGATCGGTCATGTGATCCAAAAGATTAGGACCAAATTAAGAAAAAAATATCCAAATGTTGGAAAATGTTTGTCATTATTTTCACCAGAAATTGATGCAAACATTAAAATGGCTCATGATCAGACATAATAGACAATCATTGTGTGTTAATAATATATGTTTGTTTACATAATGATCATTTGTCCGAATACACTATATATATATATATATATATATATATAAAATAAAAGTTTACTAAATCAGTGAAATTAATTAGCTATTTTTACCGTAATTGTCATAAATTTTACTTAAATAATATTTAAATATAATTTTTTAAAAATTGTGACCTAGTAATATACATACTTATAGTTGATGTGAAAATAATTCTACATACTGTAAATGATTCTAATACATTTACTTGTTCTTAAAAGAAATATAGTATATTAAAAATTAAAAGTGAAAATATTTTTCAAGTCGTAGTTAAATAAAACGCATTCTAACCTAAACACTCTCCAAAAATCTTTAAATATACAAACAGAAAAAAATACCGTAAGAATTTTTGCTGTTAACAATATATTTTTTTTTTAAATCCAGACGACATGCATTTAACGGATGTCAGATTTCATTGAAAAATATATCCCTACCCCTACCAAAACGTAACTAATAACGGATACATCAAAATACAGCGATAATGAACACGCAAACATCCCTTGTCTGGTTGAATGGATTTCTCTGTATCCTTGGAAACGTAAATTATGATTTTTGCTGTACCTTGAAAACCCAGTAATTTTAAAAGTTACACCAAAATTCGCTTGAGGATGAAATGGAACTAATGTCTTTAATTTAATTACAAAATTAAATTCGAGGCTTTCAGCTTCCATATTTGAAACATGGTGAGAAATGCGAAGCGAAAAAAACATATTTTAAATCAATTAATTTATAATATTAATGCTCTGTAAATTTACATTGAGCACTATTTTGTAAAAATAAAAATATCTATAAGAACACCGGATTATATATCTTGCTGTTCTTTATATATATATATATATATATATATATATATATATATATAGAATGAAACAGACTGTCGCCTCTAAGTGTTGACTTTTATGTTCACTTTTATATTTGCACATGCTCTATCTCTAATATTGAGCAATTTATCCCAGAAATATAGCACATCTTAAGACTATATTTCTTCATATATATATATATATATATATATATATGGTCTTAAACAGAAACAGTACTTTTTTTCAGAATTGACCGTCTGATTTTACGGAATGAGATCGTAATCTACAATATCTTTCCAATCCCAACAGATGCACAACATCCAATACTTTTTATTCAGAAACCCTTTTGCATTGGCTATCAATCAGCTTGCTTCTCCAGGACGTTATTAAGTGAATTTCAATGACAATATTCACAAATGAGTACGAAGATTCGTTCAATTTTGGACGCTTTTTATCGATTGCTTACATTATATATATATATATATATATATATAAAGCAAGTGTAAATGGATATAAATCCGACCGAATGAAAAAAATTTTGAAAAAAAAAAAAATCTTAAATGTAGTTCAACTAAATTTAAGAATTTTTGTTTGTTTTTTTCAAAATTTCTTCATATATATATATATATATATATATATATATATATATATATATATATATATATATATGTTGTTGTAAAATAGTCATTCAAAGAATAAACCAATAAAGTTAATGTAATTAATGGCGAACTCACTTTTTACTAACAGATTAAAAAAAGGTATTAACTCACTGACCACTTGCTGAACGACACGACCCCTGTTTTTATTCATTGTACAATACATAAGATGTTCGGTCCATATTGCTTGCAAGTACTTTCGATAAAAACATCTACCATCCTCAGGCACAGATGCCATTTGTTTTCTCAATTCCAGGTAAATTTGGTAATTCACAAACACACACACACACACACACACACACACACACACACACATATATATATATATATATATATATATATATATATATATATAGGTAACTATACTCGTTTCGAAAAACCTTCGAATTTTTGATTTGCCAATAAGCAAAACAATCTCGAGGGAAAAAAAGGTTTTAAAAAAAGAAAGATCTAGAAACATGAAAGTCTGTCGAAAAAAATCGCACAGATACAGGTTTGAAGCCCAAAGAAAAAAAAACCCGATGCGAGTAAACAACTAACTAACAAAAGAGCTCGATACAACCGTAGAGCAGACCTAGATAACCCGAGTGAGCCAGAGAAACCTACCCAGGTTTCACCTAAACGGATCGTCAGGGAAAGCAGGCTGGCTAGGTTTGTCTGGCTCACTAGTTTTATATATATATATATATATATATATATATATATACACACAAATGAGAAGAAGAACAAACACCACCCATTATTCTGTTACCGTTGATCCGTGAGGTATCTAAACATCGTAGCAATTCAAGTATCCAATGACTTACGGAGCCCACATGAAGGTAATTTCTGCAATTTTTCTATGTCGTATAACCTGAATTATTTTTAATCAGTGATTTAATGAACGGCGGCAGACCTGACGGAACAACTTCGATCTTCCAAATCGAATTTTCTACTTCTGAACCTAGTGAACCACTTCTCTTCAAATGTAACACTATCTCCCGTTTTTACTATTTGTACAGCGTTTTTCTTTTTTTTTCTTTTCAGACAATAATCGAAAATCAGACGACGAAAATGCGCCACATTTTCCTGGAAGCTTTTAACGTAAGAATATTGAAAATTCACAATCCACACACAAATTATTATATAGAAAGAAGTGTTGAAATATAACATTTCAAAATATATATTGTATAATCAATTTAAGTCATATGTGAAATAATATAACGTGTTCAAACACCGCCAGCTGAAAAACTGTACGTATGTTTGTTCCAAACTAATATTTTCTACAGGGTATGCCAACAAATTTGACGTTTTAAAAGCAATTATCTTTAAAACTACTAAATCTCAACGAAATTGAAGAGTTTAGGTGTTGAACATCATTAGTTTATTATGTGATCGATTTGATAAGTGTTCAATATGAACACACGTAAAATTGGTATTTAAGCTCTTGCCAAATACCCTATTGCATGTCCCCAGTAGCATTATCCAATACAGAAGTGATGCTCTGCTTGAGTTCATCAACGCCAGCAGGAAAAGTGGGGACATAAAGCATATCCCCATAAAAAGAAATCACACGGGGATAGGTCCGGTGTCCGCGGCGGTCATTTCAAAAAAAAAAAAACTGTCTTCATCTCCACCACGCCCAATCCATCTCTCTGGCAGATTCTCATTGAGATAAACACGTACTGTTCTCTTCCATTAAATATAAAATCATGATCTGTTTCTATACATTCTGCGAAAATTTGTTGTTATTTCAATAAGAACTACCAAAATTACTGACCTGCGAAATGATTTCAAATTTTTTTGAACACCCTGTACATTATATTTAGTAGAAACTAGTGTACAGTAATGCACCTAATGACTCGAATAAATAGATACATGAAAACTTAATATTCATATTTTCAATTATCTAGGCATTTTCTTTTCAGTATTGTTGTTTTGCCATTGGATTCTCTAAAATTGCCGTGTACAAAACTTGACGTGAAAGCGACAATTACAAGGTTATTTCTGTATAACGCTACATATGACCACCAGGGCATTAACCGAATGTCCTCTCAAATTTGCAGAAGCACCGAGACACCTACCCATATTCACACGAATGCAACACGTGCACTGTTCAAAAACATTACACTGATATCAAGACAAAAAATACAGAAAAAATATAAATAAGAAAAAAAATTAAGTTAAAAAAAATAATGGAAGAGATAAAAAAAGGAAGCAAAACTTCTAAAAAAGAAGAAAACATTAAAGTAAAAGAAAGAAAATTAGAAAGAAAAAAGAAATGGTTGAATTTAGTATGTTGGAAATGCGAGAGAATAAAAGAAAAAGAATGAAAGAAATACAAAAAAAATTATGAAAAAGTAGGAAAGAAAGAACAGGAAAGAAAAAATTGAAATGCAAAGAAAAAAAGAAAAGAAAGAATGAAAGTGAATACAAAAAAAAAGAATGAGAGAATGTACTTGTCGGAAATTGAGAGTGAAGAAAGAATTGAAAGAATGAAAGAGAATACAAAAGAAAGAATAAGGGAATGTACTTGTCTGCTAATGAGAGTGAAGAAAGAATTGAAAGAATGAAAGAGAATACAAAAGAAAGAATAAGGGAATGTACTTGTCTGCTAATGAGAGTGAAGAAAGAATTGAAAGAATGAAAGAGAATACAAAAGAAAGAATAAGGGAATGTACTTGTCTGCTAATGAGAGTGAAGAAAGAATTGAAAGAATGAAAGAGAATACAAAAGAAAGAATAAGGGAATGTACTTGTCTGCAAATGACTGTGAGGAAAGAAAAGAAAGAATGAAAGTGAATACAAAAGAAAGAATAAGAGAATGTACTTGTCTGAAATTGAGAGTGAAGAAAGAAAAGAAAGAATGAAAGAGAATACAAAAGAAAGAATAAGGGAATGTACTTGTCTGCAAATGACTGTGAGGAAAGAAGAGAAAATAGATAAAGGCGCACAAGATATAAAGGTTTCCATGCACATAAGCAATAGAAAAACGAAAGAAAATAATTTTCACACTGTAAGAAAGAACAAGAAAACGAATGACCGAACACATGTTTGATTCATTAAGCAAGCCGACTAAATTCTATTCTCATTCATATATCGACCGACCAACCGACAAATTCTAATCCTTAGTCCGGGTTCCTCGGAGCGAAAAAGAGGATAAAACATATTACATACAGAAAAAAAAAACAAGGTCTCTTCGCCTTAGACAAGCCTGTTACTGACAGCATTATTTGGCCCTTGGAGACGAGCATCGAAATAAACAGTGTTATATTCACTTATGACACGCTGCGAACCGACGAAGACGGTTGACCCCCAGCCTGTCTGTCTCCTCCCACCTCAAATCGCTCAACTGCGTCCCACCTACAAGAACATATATTGACGACCTCCTACAGTTTCCTGAAACGGACAATCCTTTATCTGAAAATTAGGAGCAAGGTTTTCACGGTTGGAAGGATCGAATCATTCTGTTGTAAATCATTGGATTCTATCCTCGGTGTACGGTTGTCCATTGTGGTTTTCTGGACTAGGTGTCGGGGTTTGTTGCTGGAAGAATCTTGAAAGAAAGAGATAGATGTCAAAAAAAACAAAAAACAAAAAAAAAAACACACAATAAAGATATTTCTAAAAGATAAATGAATGCAAATAAGAAGAAAACATGAAAGTCTTTCCCAAAAAGAAAACAGAATATACATATGTAAATATACACGGTAGACAGTGGAAGCCACATGTAACGGATGTTTGCAAGAAAATTAAGACGCTTGTTTGCCACAGACTTCCCGATGACCAAATTGAATAAAGCCCTGAACACTTCTGTCGAATGTTAGTTCTCTATTTTTCGCCATTAGTACGAGGCAAAAAAATGAACGCACCCATAGACAGTCGATTTTTGTACAAGTGAGTAATAGAATTCGTTTATTAATAGAGGATATTATTACAGGTGTACATATGTACATTATGCAAGTAAAAAAAAAATGATTTAGTCACGATAACGATTCTAAGAATATTGCCTTAAAGAATAAACGTTATTTAGAGAGGAAGCACGATGAGTGTAAATTGCAAATCTTCCAGTGGCCTTGTCAGTGTCCTGACCTTAATCCAAGTGAAAACATTTGGGAGATAATGGACAAGCGTGTCCGTAATAGGAAAGTTAACACAGGAGATGAGTTTTTCACGAATTAAAAAGAATGCTGGAAAAAATCTGGCGAAGGACGTTGACTTACTAAAGAATTTAGTCTATAACATGCCACGATGAATTAAGGTGGTTATTAAAGCAAAAGGCTACCCCCTCCCAAAAAAAATAATACTAAATCATTTTTTTGATTTGTATAATGTACATATGTATACCTGTATTAGTAACCTGTATTAAAAAACGAATTCTATTACTTACTTGTCTTAGCAAAAATACAAAAATCGACTTTCTATTGGTCCGTTCATCTTTTCTTTCTTTCTTTTTTTTTTTTTTTTTGCCCCGTAATAATATATATTCTTGTAGTATGTGAACATTTCTACGAATTGGAAGATTTAACTTTAGAAATATGGTATTTAATCCGAAGCAAATGTTAGAATGAAACTAACATGAAACATCGTCATTTCGATCTGCAAATTTGAATTCAGTAATCATTTTTCACGGAGATTAACCACATATATTTAATTTTTAATTAAATATCTTTTCATTTTTAGATAAAAGATGAGTTTGGGGAAGCATCTATACAGGAGTCTGTTCCAGAAAATAGCAATTCTTGATATTAAACTGAGTGGAAGTTTCTCTTTCAATTTAGAACATGGCGAAAAGGCGGATGATTTGACTCAGTGTATGTAACATGGAGTGTCCGAACCGGTAGAACTAAAGTATGGCGCTGATCCGAAATTTTGCCATAGGAACAGACTTGTGGATTTGTGTCTATGGAAAGAATCTGCAATAGTACCGCGGAAACTATCTTGAATTTTATCAAGAGTAGAAAGTGAAAAGATTGTGTAGCTCCGGTTCTAATATGACAGCAATACAGATTCTAACGCTTGGAAAGATAAAGAATGCTAGAAAGAGTCAAATATTTCCAGGAGCGATAGAATGTGTTTAAAATGTATTTCCTATTGATATTGCCATCGACATAAATTAATCTTATTTATTTCCTAAATTCTAGACTTTGCCTTATTTTGTCAATGTAAAGTTCAATATGGTTTTGTCAATATTCAAAACTACATACATATACATTGATATTTCTTACGGAATACAAATTAGACTGAAAAGTCTACATGATTTCTCATAGCCACTCTGCTTTTGCCAACTTGAAAAGGTAAAATTTCTTCGATAGATGAGCTCAACAGATAGATATATATATACTGCGCCAAATGTACTGGATGAAGAATATTTCAATTGCTCCGATTATTCACTGTTTCTTGCAGTCGTTTGCTGCAGAATTAAATTGGCCATGGGTAATTAGAATGGTATCGCGCTCTAAGTTAAATGGAAATCGACACCAACCGGTAAAATGAGAGGAATCGCTTCACCTTGTTACAACAGCCATATTTACGAAGAATTGAAATCAAGTAAGCGGATAATTTCCGAGTGCCCCGTCGCACCTTATTGATTCTTTTTTTTTCCCCCGCTGAGCGCCGCAAAGTCCGTCACTCTTCAGCGTTATTGGTTGTCGTGTGCAGAAATCGACTGTTGCCGAAGATCAAAAGCCGTGACACCATAATCCTTCTGAAGGTTTGATCTTTGATGTTAAGGTTCTTTGTGGCCATTAGACGAACCTTTCCCCCCATGAGATATTCTTCAGATTGCGTTAAACGTGTCGTCTACGAGCCTGAAGATCTAGAGAAAATTCAGTAATATAAATTTTCCTTCCTCACTTCGCAGTCATCAGCATTTGATATCGAATCTGATTTCAAACCAAAACAACATATATCCTCCCGAAGTATCAGTGGTGTACTAGTAAAATCCTAATTGTGGTGACTAATGAATTAAAGTTTCCTCCAGTCTGTTTTAGACCTGTAATATGCTGCATTTCTCTAGTAGAATATTCCTTGGTTCTGTGCGATTCAGGGTTTCAAAGGAAACTATAAACGTAAATTTAAACAAATGAAATAATAAATTGATGGGTGAATAGATTAACAAACCTTAGAAAGATTAAAATAAATCAAATAAAAACAACAAATTTTAGACTTATCCTACACACTAAAAGGACTAATGATAATTGATCTAAAGAATATATTGGAAGTACAAATTAACATTAGTGTTGATTAATTGTTCACACAGAAGCACACACTCACACACACACTCTCTCTGTCTCTCTCTATCACACACACATAGAAACACAGACACACACGTATATATATATATATATATATATATATATATATATATATATATATTATAAAAATCAAAACAGACTACCTCCGAAAAAAATCCCAAAAAGCCTTAGAGAAGAAAAAAAGGAAAAAGCTTAGATAATAAAAAGAGCTTAGAGAGAAAAAAAAAAGCTGAGAGAATAAAAAAGGAAAGACCTTATAGAAAAAAAAGAAAAGGCTTAGAGAAAAAATATGAAAGAGCATAAAGAAAGAAGAAGAAAAAACTTTGAGAATAAAAAAATGAAAGAGCTTAAGGAAAAAAGCGAAAAGCTCAGAGAAGAAAAAAAGAAAGTTTCAAGAAAAAAAGAAAGACGTTAAAGAGAAAGAACTTAAAGAAAAAAAACAGCTTAAAAAAGAATTAAAGAAAAAGAAAGTGCTCAAAGAGAAAAAGAAAGAGTTTAAATAAAGAAGCAAGAAATTAAAAAAAAGGAAAAGGTTAGAAAAGGAAAAAAGAAAGAGCTTAAAGAGAAGAAAAAAGACCAGCTTAGAGAAGCAGAAAAAAGCGGTTCCAAACCAATAAAGAATATAACAAAAGCTAAACACCTTCCTAAGCAGTAAATAACAGTGCTGAATATCTAGGGTATCCAGACAGAGCAAATAACGTTTTCACAGATGAAGTCGCTACTTACGTACCACATTTTCGTGATATTCAGGCGCGCACACACACACACACATACATACATACATATATGAGTGAGAGGGGGAGATGCGAACTCCACAGACACATATATTGGTAATTGTGCTGGCAGTGTAATTGTTATGGTAATCGCCATGAAAAACAGAGTTCATATTCCCGTCGATTTTGTTTTGCTCACTTCGCGCTGAAAGCCCAAAGGAAAAAAAAATGTTGGTCAGATTGCAGAATACATTAGGCTCCCTTTGCCTTGGCTGTCAGCTAGTCTATGAGAAGGAATACTCTGAATTCAAGGACTGTTTGAAAACTTCGTCGTAATATGTGCTCCATCTGAATTATTAAATTAAATCAATCAATCATCTCAACGCATTTCCTAATGAGCATATAGATATATAAATTTTGCGGCAATTAATCAGATTGAAGACTATAATGGCAACTAGCAGGGCAAACCGATCAACTTTACTATGAAAGATGCTAGTGATCTCTCCAAACACCTTCTTCATCACCATTTGACTCATCGAACTCTTTCTGAATCTATTTTATTGTAATGGGTATATTGTCACCATTTTATATTTGTAATTTCACGCATGCGCGTTGTTTGTTTTTGATTTTGTCGACAACACAATATAGTAGGGTCAGTTACGCACCGGCTGTGAGAAAAAGAGCACCATGATGCACTTCTCTCCGCCAGAAATTTGGAAACGGCATGCTGAACTGCTTGGCATTCTCGCCGGAACCTCCAATAAGAACATTTCAGAATGTTTCGGTGTCAATCTGAGGGACAATACAATGGATTCAGAAAGAGTTGGATGAGTCAAATGGTTATCAAGGTGTTTGGAGAGATCGCTAGTGATGTCAACGTTATGCCTCTATTCATTTTCCCACAGGGCCCCAGAATCAACACGGGGGCATACAACCACTGCCTCGAGGAGATAGAGCTGTCCTGGATCAAGAGGGTGTCTCTTTGAAAACACAATGTCTGGCAACAGGTTTCTGCGCCACGACACACAAACAGGAGTATCCAATCCTGCCTGTCAGACAATCTCTGCGAACACATCACCCCCTTACATCTGGCAACCAAATACCACAGACTACAACCCGCTTGATTATTATTTTCGGGGTGTAGTTGAGCAAGAGTCTAACAAAATTCCTTGTAACACAAATGATGAACTGAAGACATGGATTGGGACGCAATTCACTCCGCCACAACAATGGAAACGACATGCTGTACCGTAAGCCGTGGGTGTTAATCTGGGGTATAGTGCAGAGGATTTGGAAAGACTTGGATGATGATTACTCTGATTGTTTTGATAAGAAAAGAACTACTGAATTTGTTAGTGAGTGTCTCATTCTCAACACGGAGACCTAAAACAAGTGCCTTCAGGTGGTAGTGATGCCCATGGGTTGCTGCTGGAAGTCTGGCAACACCATGCCACACAATGAAGAAAAAACACTCATAGGTGTCAGGCAATTTCTGCGACAAAATACTCAATACATCTGGTCGGCTATCTCCACAGACTGAAACTTCCTTGATCATTTGTGGGACGCAGTTGAGCGAGAGACCAACAAAACTCCTTATAACGCCAAAGATAAACTGTAGATAAGGATTATGGCAGCATTCACCAACTTAAAGAGGGAGACCGTCCAGAAGATATGTAGGAGATTCCGATGTCGTCTGGAGGCCGTGGTTGAAATCAATGGCGATTTTATTGAATAAATTTACACTTCAGTATTTCAAGATATTTTATGTGTAAATTTATATGAGGGTCGGCTGGAGAGTTCATAGGCCGTCCAACATATAAATGTAATTAGACCAGTCCAGATGGTAGCAAATGTACCAGAATTAAATTGCTGGTCGGCCAGCTGTTGAAATCTAGTACACTTGCATATCTTTAAATCTACCAACTGCATTGTCTACTTACATTTTTTTATCTTTCCAGACGACCATTATACACGCACACACGCACGCGCGGGGAGAACGCACACACACACACACACACACACAGACAGAGAGAGGCACACAAACACAAATATATATATACACACAAATATACACAGATATATATATATATATATATATAGAGAGAGAGAGAGAGAGAGAGAGAGAGAGGAGATAATAGACAATGAATATCTATTATGTTTGATCATGAGCCGTTCTAAAACTCCGTATATTTGCTTTAATTTAATTTCAGGTGAAAATAAAGACAAAAATTGTCTAACGTTTGCATATTTTTTATTAAGTTGTCACTTGAACTAAGCTTTCGGCTGACATGAGCCATCTTCAGAGGAGTTATACGGATATTTTAACAAAGATATTCGCCATCGAAGATAATATTTTGTTATGTTGACATAGAAGATGGCTATGTGACAATAACGGTCGCGGAATAGCAGATGCAGGTCGTAAGTTCAAGACTCGGTTCTATGACGTCATACCACGTGAGATGCCGAAATATTAACAACAGAACCATATGTCTAGATGCAAAGTAATGTATTGTGGCTAGTTTGAATTGTAATTTTGTTGAATGCGGGTTGCTTTGTGTATGTATATATATTATTTTGAACACAAAATCGATTAGAAGTGCTAGATTCTCCTATTGTGAGTGCAGTTGTTAAATGTATATAATGTACGAGCAAATCCAGTCAAAATGCAAACATGTACGAAAGTTGACTTTGAATAAATTCTAGAAGTAAGAATAGCAGAAATTTCTTAATCAGTAAATACGTATTTTGGGGGTAGATTACTTTTGCTCATAGTTTAAATCATTAGCTTTGATTCAGTCATTTCTAAACCACGATCAAAAACAATAATTTAGAAATAAAAAATAGAATCGTTCGTACTTGTTATAATTGCCTTTAATGAGCAATTTCAGATATGGTAAAAAAATGGGAAAATTATTAGCGAAAAAGACACGAAATGTTTCATGCATAAGTGAATTTCAGACAAACTGATGCAACCTTCTCTTTGGTCTCTCTCTCTCTCTATCTCTCTTACTCTCTATCTCTCTCTTATATTTAATACATACACATATACACACGCGCGCGCGAGCGCGCACACACACACATACACACACACACACACATATATATATATATATATATATATATATATATATATATATGACAGCAGCCATAGCCAGCTAGTCGATAAGAAAAAAACATTCCATTAGAATGGAGCAAAAACAGCATCATGTTTAGATGTAAGAGGGTCTATATTCAATTACTTTAAAATACTTTCATTAAAAAAAAGAAACATTTTGAATTAATGCAGTTACTGATATAACAGTAGTTTGTATTTATTCAATCGAAGTTAGCCGAGGACATGAAGGGGTTAAAAAGGTAGCATGAAGACCCACTTCAGACCACAATTATTTTGGAGCATTTAAAATTCAATTTGTCAGTGTGCCACCAGGAATGTAAAAGACGATGCAATTGTTAAGTTTAATGAAAGTTGGTTGAAAGATCAATGAAAAATAAGGAAGAAACCAGTAAAAATCGCCATTTTTCGCTATTTACGCGGGTTTTTACTCTATGGGTGGACTCAATTATAAAGTTAAATGATTGTTAAACAATCAACTTATAGTTGGATACAATTGAGTGAAGTTTGCATTAGATTGCTTGAAAATTGAGGGAATTTAGTTTAAAATTTGTATTGAAATTCGTCTGTGTTGAAATCGATTTCTCGTTGTTCGCATTTTTTCGTCAAACGCAGTGGCGTATAAATAAAAATGAGGTATCGTTGAGCTCGCCATGATGTAAGTAACCTTCATACAGAGTTTGAACGAAATCGGTGGAAAAAAATTGAATTTATCGATTTTTGATCGGTTTCATCGATTATTGATTTTTAAAAAATTATGGATTAATAAGTATTAATAACATTTACCGGCCTCAATGTCCGAGAAATTTTCATAGAAATATTGTAGTTTAAAGGCAGTAAAATCGACCTTGCTAACCGAACGATCCTCTGTGCTCAAATCGGTTAAGGCACGTCAGGATAAATGACAGTTCCGTATAGGATATAGGTTCGATTCCTGGCGGAGGACGTACATTTTCTATGAAAATTTCTCGGCCATTTAGGCCGGTAAATGTTATTGATACTGTTTATTATAAAAAGATCATTTACTTAAGTATTTGTATCTATAAAAAGAATGTATAAAAATAAAAAATGTTTAAAAATAATTGTCGGATTTTGTCCATTTCATAATGTGTGACGACATTTGTTTACATTTGGATACTCTTTGAGCAGATATGAACGTACGTGAGTGATTCAGTGACGATTGTAGGTTAAAGGCAGTAAAATCGACCTTTCAAAATGAAGGATCATCTGTAGCTCAATCGGTTAACGCACGTCATGACGGTTCCGCATAGGATACAGGTTCGATTCCTGTCGGAGGACAAATATCTTCTATGAAAATTTCTCGGACATTCAGGCCGGTAAAAGTTATTAATACTGTTTATTATAAACAGAGCATTTACTTAAATATTTGTATCTATAAAAAGAATGTATAAACATAAAAAATGTCTTAATATATATATATATATATATATATATATATCTGCTACAACATACGTATAAGCAGACACCAACACACACATATGTATATAAATATGAAAGAAAAAGATGTATATATATAAATAGAGAGCGTATGCTTGTGCATTTTTAAGCCATAATGCATTTTCTTCTTTTTGCATCCAACTCTGATATTTCCAATTTATTTTTCCTCTTATTACATTTTTAGATAGAAATTTGGAAGGGAGTCACAGAAGGTGGATAAGGGTCTCAAAAACGACGCTAACCCGTATAAAAACGAAGAAATCTAAAAAAAAAAAAAAAAGAAAAAAAGAAAAACAGAAAGAAGGCAAGACATTTTTCAAGAACGTATATTTAAAAAATACGTATATGCGTGGACTTCTCTCGCAAACTGAACGCAAAAAGAAGTAAAACATTTGAAAAGAGAAGAAAAAAAAAGAAAAACGAGAAATCAACAGAAAACAAAATGCCCGAGG